CGACCGGGCTCTGCACAAATTTCTTCTTTGTTTTTTGATGAACTGATATCTGTTTTAGAATATGTTACGATGTTAAATGCCAATATTTTGATGATGGGGGATTTCAATGTGCACATTGAAAGAGTTAATGACATACACACAGTCCGTTTGAATGAAATACTTGATGCATTTCAAATGATCAGTCATGTACATGAACCAACTCACGAGCAAGGTGGTATTCTTGATCTGGTTATTAGTTCAAGCAATTTTCCGATTTTGGGAGTTGAAATATTTCCAAGTGGAATGTTTTCAGATCATGGTTTTGTAAAGGTTGAGGCATCAATTGCTCATAGATGTGTAACAACCAAACAGACAGTAAGATCGTGGAGAAATGTGGATGAAGATCAGATTGTTCAGTCAATTGCAAATTCTCCAATATCTGGACCATGCAAAAGTGAAAATGTTGAGAATGAATTAAAATTGTTCAATATGGAATTAAAAGGCATTGTTGACCGATGTGTGCCGCTAAGAGTGATTTGCAAAAGAATTGATAGAAATGTATCATGGTTTGATGATGATTGCCTACGGGTCAAACGATATTGCAGAAAACTTGAGAGATTGTATAGAAGAAGTTTATCAAATGTTCATCGTGAAAATTGGCTTGGTTCATTGAAAACAAAATACAAATTATATTCAGATAAACGCTGTGGGTATTGGAACAATTTGATAAAAACCTGTGGCAACCAAAAGGACCGGTGGCGAATTATAAATAAAATCTTATGCAATGATCGAAGTGAAAATTTATTGGATGCTAATGTCAATCATACAGCTGGTGATTTTATGAAATTTTTCACAGATAAGATTGCAAAGATTGTGCATTCTGTTAATTCATCTAGTGTTTCAACCTCGTTATTAGAAGATGGAGAGTCACCAACTGTTGCATTGACATCATTTCCTGAAATCGCTGAGGAGGACCTTGTGAAGATTATACTTGACTCTCCGTCTAAAACTTGTTCACTTGATATCATGCCAACACACATTTTTAAAAAATATCTAAAGTTTTTTATAAGTTTTCTAACTAGTTTCATAAATCTCTGCTTAAAAAAAGGCATAGTGCCAGACTATTTCAAGCATGCCACAGTTGTTCCGATTCTGAAAAAAGTCGGCAGCGATGACGGGGAAATTGGAAACTACAGACCGATTTCTAACCTACCATTTCTATCAAAGGTGCTGGAGCGTGTTGTAAATGGGTTTCTACTGAAATATTTAACAGACAACGATCTTATGCCAAGGTATCAATCTGGGTATCGACGGTTCCATTCCACCGAAACAGCTTTGTTATATGTTTTATCAAGTTTGTTTGCTGCAGCTGAGGTTCAAAACATATCGGTACTATCATTCCTTGATATGTCAGCAGCGTTCGATTGTGTGGATCATGACATGCTTATAAA